ACTAAAAATCTATAGTTATAATTATTATTATTATTATTATTAATTTTTAAGGGCGTTTTAACGGCTAAGGTCATTTCACGCCCTAACATATAGTTATAATTCTTATTTGATTTAATTCAATTAAGTGCTGCGATATTTATTGTTAACTAAATTATTACTTTGACGTAACTTATTTATATTAGAGTAAATATTAAAGATTACATTATTTATAGAATAATTATATTATTATGATTTATTATGACTATTATATTATGATTAGAAATAAAAAAGTATTTTTATAAAACCACACAGAATTTACCGTAATTGCTTTTAGATTTCGTTACTTATTCAGAGGAAAGTGTATTTGGTATAAATTATTGCAAAAAGTACATGAAGGGAGTTCACAATAAGGAAAAAGCTATTCTGCAGTATAAAGTGGCACAATAATTTTCACGATTCATTGTTCACCAGTGCCACACAATTAAATACTTCTGAACGTGTCAACAATGGCAAAGAGGGATATAAGAGTCGTTCTGCCTGTTATTTGAAGTGCTCTTCAAAGTTACATAAAAGTCTTGGAGCACGTACGCAGGCGGACTTTCAAACAATTCCTTTGACAAGAAAATATATACCGCAACGGCCTGTAATACACGAGATCGAATAAGAAATTTTTTTCCAGTCGCCAATAAATAGAAATAAAACTATTGTGTTTGTAATTTAATCCACGTATTTGTCGAGTGGGAGAGAGAGCTCTTTTCCTCGAGGAAAGTTCGATTGAATACAATTTCCGACTCGGGACCGTCCGTGTATATGTAGGTTGGCATTAACCACCTCCGGCTCTGCACTTTATCGGGCCTTTGTATAATTACAGTCGTAAAACCGTCCCCTCTATCCGGCAGGCGGTCCATAAAAACCCTCCTTAAATTTAAACTATCACGGCTACTAACGCGTAGTAAAATACCCTTGTGATACGCTGAACCTTTTGTTATTTTCTACGAAAGCCAGCTTGAAGGTGCGATCCGTGCTTTGACCGCATTGCTAATTGAATCTAAACAGTTTCAGCTCGACCGGAAAATTGGTAATTGACGCCGTTGGCCAGCATACACCACTGGGCCGTAAGATATTCGCTTCGCACTGTTAATCACGAAGCTACAGATTCTGAATATACAACAGTAATCAACAAGAAATTGAATACAATTTTGTACGTGATTAATTATGGCTGAGAGTATCTGATAAATGAAATGTTTTTTTGATGCTTAACACCGACTTTTCATTACTACTAATTCCATATCTAAACAAATGTTATAATTATTTTTATTCAATTAATTAATTTTTATGTAAGGTCTTGGTTGAGATAAAAAAGTCAGTGTCACGAGCGGGATTCGAACCCACGACGTTCCGCTAAATAAGCCGCTGCTCTAACCACTTGACCTATCGTGAGTTCGAGCCACTCCCCATCTCAATCAACCTTTCGGATTTTTCCTCATTTTTGTCATTTTTCAAATTTTATCTCAGCCAATATATAAAGATCAATTAATTGAAAAAGTTATTTGGTTACAATCAGTCCACGAACTCTAATGGATTTATTATTTTTATTATGTATAATGATTTTAATTTGTTTTAATTATTAACAGAGATATAGATATTAAAGCAGTGTTTCCCCAATCTATTTTGTGTCATGTCTCACATAAACTTTTTCAAATCCCTTCTGCCCCACCCCTCACCCATTTAAATACCCACGGCATAAATTTAAAAAAAATATTGGGAAAATCACTGTAGAATTATTGATAAAACATAATAAGCAGATTTTTATAAAACCCGAAAACCATGTTCCGCGTCTAGGGCGTTAGAACGAATATGAGAGTTAATAAATTATTTGATTTCGAACTCATTTTGCGATGTTCTTCAATTTTTAAAATAAATTATACTGCTTTAATGCACCAATGTAAAGAGACTGCGACCAAACATGATAAGACGCATTAGTATTTTTTTTTAAATAGCATTATTGGCGGAGTAAAGAGTTTGTTGGATCACGACACGTGAGATTCGAGTCCAAAGAACTTTTAAAAAGAGTATCTAGTAGATCCATATTATGCTTCGTCGCAAAATAGTTCACTTTACGCACTGTAATAAGTGCATCGCTGAAAAATATTTGTCAGACACTAATTAATATCCAGCTAAAGTAAAAAATAATCAAGTTTAGCAAAATTTGTAGATCTGATGAAACCTTATTTTCTCGAAAAGAGAAAGATTTCCCATAGATTTGGTAGAAATTTCCAAATTTAACAGAATATTAGATAAAATGTCGTTTTTCTCATGTAAATTTCAAATGTTTCAAATAATCATTGTAAATTATAATTTTAGAAAGTAATAGGATTCTCGGAATGTATTTCATTATATTTATTTTTCTTCACCTGATAAATCAGTCATATTAGTCAGCAATAGCAAAATACTATTTAATATTATTTCATGTAAAATATTGCAGCGTTTTTTCAGAAGGAAAATTATCACTTAAATTGATCTCGATTATCAAGTGTGCGTATAAATAGGTCTGTTTCTTAAATTATGAGGCTCGGGTTCATAAATTTCGTTTAACATAATATGATGTTTAATAATTATGATGCAGAAAGATATGGATTATAAATTGCAAAGTATTGTTTGTATATAAAAATCGAAACGCCACATTTTATTTTGGAGTAAACTTTACAGGTGTTGGTAACAAATTATATAACCCTATCAGATTACATTTATGGTTTTATTTAATATTTATTCAAATTTTATTTTTATTTTTTCCCTTTTCATAAAAACGCAAATAGCTTATATCTATCTATATTAATATTAATACTAAAGTGTGTGGTGATTAGTGACCGTTAATCGATATTTATTTAGAAATCGTGAGATGCGGTCTGGTGTGATGTAGGTTTCAGAAAAACATTTTCTTTATCGTGCCAACGTTTCGATCTTTATTGAGATCATCTTCAGGGCTCAAAGTGTTTGTCTTCTGTGTAATTGTGCCATTCTTGTGTGTCGTGCAGGGAGAGGGGCACAGAAGACAAACACTTTGAGCCCTGAAGATGATCTCAATAAAGATCGAAACGTTGGCACGATAAAGAAAATGTTTTTCAGAAACCTACATCACACCAGACCGCATCTCACGATTTCTAAATAAATATTAATACTAAATTTACCCAAGGATTAAAAAAATCGCTTGTTATTATTCTAGAATTAGGACCTTTAAAAACTAAATTAATAACTTGACAATTTAATATACATACCATTTTATACATTTTATTACAGACCATTTAGTTGACACTTAGATAAAATATACTGAATTATGGAAAAGCGATACTTTACAACAATTTTAACCCAAACAATCCCTAAACAATAAATTACTGCATTGATGACGATAAACCTTACTTGAAACGCAGAGAAAATATGATACAATAATTATTACGGGATATTGAAAAATAGCATGAAACGCTAAGGATCGGAATAACCCGAGGTCCGACAAATAAATTCAGCTATTTCATGGCGAACAAAAGCTACTATATTCGATTATTTTTCAACTAAATTACAAATACAATTGGCGCTTAGTTGACTAAACATCTAAACGAATTATTTTCAAAATTACCCCCCTTAAAACTCACATTACCCCGCAGTGGGGAAACACTATTACTACTACGTATTAAGGTGACCGCGGAGTCGAGTGGTTAGGGTGCCCGATCGTATTTGTCACGCTAGCGGTTCTGGGTTCGAATCCCGGAAGAACTCATAAGCTTTTAATTGATAATGGGATGAACAATATTACAAAGTGATTTGACCCTCTTCTGGATCACCCAACAACGACGTTAAGCCGTCCTGTGTAACTGAGAAATGCTTTACTTTTCTTTTTATTTATATAGATATTATATGATAATTATATCTCACACATATAGACTTATGTATTATTGAAACACTGTTTTCTTAAAAAAAGAAGCTTTTAATTTAAAAGAAAAAAATGGTTCTGTGTACAAACTGTTTCAAAAATTACAATTTACTCCATTAGATATTGTTTCAAAATTACCTGTTATTCTGAATAATTTACTTTTAAAATATTTCGTTTTATATATTTTAATTGTTGCTGAAATAAGTCGGTGAATAAAAATTCTACTTTTAATTAATAGGCTTAGGAAGAGAAAGGATTAGTTTTGGGTTCATAAATCTCCCAGAATTGTCTTGTCCCATGTTTCCAACCTTGTAGTTACCCTTCCTCCGCTTTACCAACCGAAGGAGAACTCCTAAGCAGTTTAATACCGGACAACCAAGTGAGAATCCTGGAAACTTGCGAGAGCTCTAAGGAAATAACACTATAAATCACCGGGACATAAGTGCTGAATAGCAAATGTACAACTGTCTCATACCCTACAATAAATCCTGTTTTGTTTTTCACTTGTTACTAATTGCAAATCACTTTGATTAAAAAATATATTTTACTAAGGAAATGTTAATGGGAAAAATATTTTCAAAAAATCTCATTTTGATTCAACAGCATATATGCACTACAAAATTATCCAACAGACTTTCAGTTGTTCCTTATCAGGGCAATATTATTTATTTAATTTAAAGGTCATATAAGTTATCATTGGGACAGCCTAAAATAAAAACTTTGTTCCCTTCGTTTAAGGAAATCTTTTGGGATTTGGATGGAAAATAAAACAAAATATGATAATTCTATATAAAATTATAACTTTTAGATGAGATAAGATCAACGTAAACATTAAAAAATGTATTATTCGATATAAAAACTGAAAACTTAATGTATATTTCAATATATATGAATGTAAGAGACATTTCTTTTATATGTACTTTGAGAAACCAAGACTCTTTTCATCATTTGGCATAGTAGTCATTTTATAAACAGGGAAGTGGGCATAATTTTGAATAAATAATTAAAATTTTCCTCTTTATCCCTTTTCCATTTAAATAATTATCTAAAAAAAGATTTACAATGATATCTGAAACAATAAAATTACGCAATTTAATTTTGTTTAAATGAATCAAGATAAAGGATTTTAAATGCTTATTGAATTAGTAAATGCCATGGCCACTATTGTCATTTGGTGGTTTATTGTCATTCCAAGATGTTGATAATGTTCCATCTCTTCCAAGGTATGTCTATTATAAGAAATCTATGAATAATGTTATAAGAAAAAGTGTGTTTTTTAGTTATGCCTTGCTATTATTTGTGTTAATTTCGGCTCTATTCTAAAATGTTCTAATTTATTAACAGAGCTGAGGTAAAAACCATCGCATCAACGCGCTTGGACAGCTTACGGAATACTTCTCGGCGTTTTCCCAGACGTAAGGTAGGTTCGATCGAAGGTGCAGGGTTTGCTCTGAAAACACAAGAGCATCTTTAATTCACTTATAACCTCATCCTGAAATAGTTTCTGTTAGATACCCTAAACCTTCTCATCCACTTCGCCCAAGCGGGAGTTCTGCAAGGGTTGTCCTTCATCCCATTTTATATTCAGTGTACACTGCAGACATTTCTGTCAATTTGATACACACGTGAAGACGAAACCACCATCCTTTCTGCGAGCTTTTCTTTCCATGGCCTTTAGAAACCTCATGGACCTTCTCTTCTGTCAGAAGGAATGCCTCATCAGACTTAACGAAACAGCATCCCTAAAAATAACATTCACTTTTTGTCGTATCACCTTTCCTCTAATCAACTAGAACTCTGTTCTTCACCCGACAACCTTGCGAATTGGGAATATACATCAATAAATAAAAACTTTTTTCCAACTCCCATTCGTCTAAAAGGAATAAATCTGAACAGACGATATAAATTATTCAAAAGATTACTTTCAAATAGATCAAATCAATGCATAATGAACGCGTCATCTACATCAGTATATAACCAATTTAGAAGGAATTGAACTGTGTGGTTTAACTAAGCGTTCCATCGTCCAAAGAAGACCAGAAGAAAAGTTTTCAAACCATGGCCGAAACTACTACTTATCCGGCCTTACTACCCACACAGACCGTCAAATCCCATTTGTCCTCGAAACCGCACGAAATCGTTACAGACGACTTCTGTAAAACCTGAACCCTCATCTCAACCCTGAGAATTCAACACCTTTTATTCTGGACCGTTCAGGTCTTCTAAGAATCATACAATGGCCTCGTGATTTTATCTCTAAATGAATTTGCGTTGGGGAGTAATTAATGGATTCTTCTGCGCTTGTATGATTTTCTATATTATCGAATTATTTTAAATCATCCATGCTTTATTTGTCAAGCCTCTTGTCATATAATTTCTATATGTCTCTGTACTTCATTTATTTCATTATTTTCTAATCGTATGTCTTGTTAATACGTCTAATTTGAGTTAAGTTATTGTTTGTAGTCCTTCCTAAAACGTTAAAATTGTTTCTTGGCTTCTTTTCTAGCTGTACTATTTTTAGTTTCTCTTCTTTTACCCTAACTTCGTAATTCTTCCTCCCATTTATTCTCACTTCAAAGAAAACGGTTCTATGTAAAATTAACTCTGATGTTGCTTATTCCTTTGATTAGACATATCAATTCAACTATAGGGATGTTTAATCTTTTACAACAGAAAAGAGTATTAACATTGACTTTTGTTATTGTGTATGCGGTAGACTTAAGAATGGACAATCCTATACATTTTTTCCGGCTTTACTTTCTAAATAATGCTACCCATTTTTCCCCAAAACTCGAGCGATATTCATTTCGGTATTTTTCATGAGGGCGAACCAGGAGTCGAGGCGCCACCGGATAACATTTGTTTTTCTTCCTTCCTTTAGTGGGAGAGATATGCAAATCCAATGTTTGCCGATGCGTTCCAGTTTTTGATACAGAAGAACCCGATAGCTCTACGAGCCGACATTGCTTCACAATCCGCGAAAATGCCAGCCAGCCCTTTCCTCCCTCGTCGGATCGAACCATTTGTACTTATTACGCCGGCTGAAAAAGGGAAGAAGGAAAATTGTGAGAAAGCGAGAGAGCAAAAAAACTGTAGGCCACCGGAAAATCCCCGGGGCTATTCATTGCTAAATACCGAGGTATAGGAGGTGATCTATCGCCCGGAGAAGGCAATAACGTCTCTATATATCTCTCACGATCATACAATGAAAGGGCTTTTTCCTTTAAAAGGTAAATGGCAAAAAAAACCTACTTCATCTGCCCACATTCTATATTTTTATTAAGCAACCAATAATAAAATTGATTATATTTCATGATCAGCATAATAAATTTGCATATCAAGCTGTCATATTTAATTTATTCGATATATTGAAAGAATCAGATGAAACAAGAGCAATCGTCACGTTAATTATATACCATATAAATCGAGAAAAAGCATAAAAAATTGGCAATGTTTTGTTTTAAAGCATTAAGTATTTACTCGACATCTTACTCTATCAATCATTATGATTGATTAAGTGCTGTTTGTGCGTTCAGAACCCTCAGATTCATCAATCAAAATATTGGAAAATTAAGCTTTGTTAAGAATTTCAAGTAGGGCAGTCAATTCTTTGGTTAGCAATGCAACCACTTGTCATTTATATATGTATGCATATATTATAATCATTCGTTTTATTATTACCCTTGTTTTAAATATTTAGTGTTATATTTTGTTTAGGGGGACAGACTAAACAATTTTACAATATTTAATCAGATAGCAAGCTGATAAATTAGTTATGTATATCACAAATAATCAATTTAAAAATTTAAATAATTAAAAACACAACAAGAAGAACTTAAGTTCTTAAGTTAATGCTTAATAATAAATCAGGCTGTTCAAATTGTTTTGGGAAATTCTCTACCTTTCTTTCTTTCCATTCAATTCTCGCATTGATTAGAAATGTTACCAGCTTACTTACTTTTGATTATTTTTGATGTTCATATTCTACCAGATAGTCAGAAAAGTTCATGCGGGTTTAAAGAATTTAATAATTATCATAATTAAAAAGAATAAATTAGTTTAGAAATATGTTATTCGGGGTAATAGTCGCCAGTGCTACCTTTAACCTTACCCAACTTGTTTTACCTGCCCAGTTGTGCCCTTCTATAAAAATTTGAATCCTTGAACTTAAAAAAAAAAAAAAATAAAATGAAAAATAAACGGCTCATCTTCCGGCGTTGGCGATTATCCAACCCATTTCGCATATGAGTATCCATTTCTAAGAAAATGCGAAAGTCAGATGGGCCAGTAAGAGTACCAAGGTTCTTCCCAACTAAGCTCCATTATCACTTACTTTCTCATTCTGGCTGTATGAGGTTTTCGTCGTCCTGCTGAAAGATTACACATTTTCTGTTTACGAAAAAAAGTTGTTTCTGGTTTTGGCAGTTTGCTTGAGTAGATTTCTACTGTGATGGTCTTGTGATGTGGCAGGATTGGTAGTGCACAATGGTGGTTGTGTGTTTTTGGTTCTCCTTTTGTGGTTGAATATTCGGTTTTTGTGTCATTGGAATAGAGTCATTTGGTGACAGCCAATGCTACGACTACCTGGTATTGAATGAAAGGCTTGTCACCGTCGGTCAATTTGTGATGAACCAATTTGCTCAGCTTCCACGTCTTCCCAAGTAGATGTAAACTGGAGCGAATGTTTTCATAGCTTACGTTCAATTCTCTGACAAGCTACTGATGTTTGACTCGAATTTTCATAGCTTCCCACATTTCGTCACAATTCGTCGTCATTAAAGGCAGATGGCCTACCGGACCGTTGTTCATCATCAATCCCCTCATTCCCAGAAGCAAACCTTTCGAACCATTTTTGCATAGTGTGCTCATTTATTGTTTCATCACCGAATGCAGTTGACTGCCCGCCATAATACGAATTAAAATTCATGCAATAAGCACACAGGAATTCTGTGTTTTAAAGCCATGAGAAAGAAAATATTTTATAATTTGTAGTGAACTGTTCATAACATTTTTTCTTTATGAACTGGCGCTTTATCCTCTCGTTATTACGTGATATAAACAGCTCGTCTTCCGATATAAACAGAACTGTTAATTAACCGAATTAAAATAATAACAAATAAAAAACCTACAACATTTTCTAGTCACCTTGTATAATTTTGAATGGGGACCTGGGTTCGAATCCCGGCCTAGCTCATGGATTTGTAAGCGTGAATAATATAGAGAAATTATTTTAAAGTTGTTTGATCTCTCGTCCGCGACAACAACGTTTAGATGGACGTTAAGCCCTCCTGCTTAACTTTATTTTACTTTACTTTTATAATTCCGAATGTGGAAAAAAATAATTTTGCTGCTATTCTTTAACAGTAGTATTTGAATACTTTTTGTGTATACAGGTTTTTAAAAAAAAATATTTTAGTGCTGTGGCTTCTATCTATTTAGCTAATGAAATTATCCTGTTCTTCTAAGGTACTCCTGGGAACGCTACGAGCGGGATTCGAACCCAATTAATTTTTATGTAAGGTATTGGTTCGAATCCCGCTCGTGACACTAACTTTTTCATTTCATGCAATACCTTACATAAAGATCAATTCATTGAAAGAAGTTATTGCTAACATTTCCTTCAACAAATTTAGTCGTTTTTTTTTGTTTTTTTTTTTTAAAGTTTAGATTACAGAAGTTATAGAAAATGTAGAGAGACAAAACGGCATATTCCCGAAGGACGTCGAAGCGAAATTTAAGTTAGAAAGACCAACAAGAAATTGCGAGAGATAATCAATTTTGATGTAATTACTACCGGAAGGTCGTGGGTTCGAATCCCCTCGTGACACTAACTTTTTCATTTCAACCAATATTTTACATAAAGATTAATTAATTGAAAGGAGTTATTTGGTCAAATGGACCACGAAATGTAATGGATTTAATAAGTTTTTAATTAGTTAATTTAGTCAAATGCTTAAACACCCTTCATGTACAAACTACCACATACAAAGATTGAAATATTCTCTTTGTTCAGTAAGTAAATCCCGTTACCCCAATTTTAACAAAAATTCTTATTATTATTGCAAACGTCCGCAGACTAAAGAGATGATTGCCAAGAGACCTCCTAAACAGTCACGATGTGCTCACACTTCGCTAGATAAATAAGGGGAACCTAAAATTTTATGTGAAACCATAATGTGGGAGGGAATCGCCTGTGAGGCCCTTGTTGTTGGTCACAAGAGGTCCCTGAGTCTTGGCCCAGGGAGACAAAGGGCATGTTGTTATCTCAAGGGCTCATCCACTAATTAAGCCGGCTCTGTTTTCCCTTGTTTAATTGTGCCAGAGATGTAGGTGATACCCCAGTGTGTGCTCTCATCCCACGCTTGCCATCTTCCTCTGGGGAAAAATTGTCTGGATTAACAGTAAACTCGGTACTGCCGTTCCCAGTCTCCTCTTAGCTTTACGACT